AAAATTAGGCGGGAAAATTCTATTTACGAAAAAGTTCAGTCGCTAAGGCATACCAACACAAATAGGCGTACGAACGCGTTCATACAGAGGTGAGCGCAGACTGCGAGCCGGCCGGCGGCGGTGGCGTGGGTGCCATTCTTCTTACCCCATAACAGCTCATAGTCATACGCGCAAGTTCTATGCGCACCACATTTCCTTTAACGTCACTCATATACAGAGCATTTTCTTCTCCGCAAACTTTTAATATATAGTTTAAATCAATCGAATTAAACGCATAAAGATTCCATATATTCACTATTAAATGATAATTAATTAGGTAATGCAAAATATCTGTATTAATAAAAAAGACTTTGAAATACTAGTTTACGTACGTATTAATATTATATACCTACTAATATATATTATACATAAATGAACGTAAATAAATTGCATTGTGGTTAATATATTTAATAGTAATAATATAGTTAATTTGACAACTACATAGGTATGTATTATTTCTAATATTATCATATCTGTAGTATAATTAAGTAAAAATTGTATTACACAAATAAAGAATTTTGGGTTTTTGGTTTTTAATATAAATTTAATTTTATACTGTGTGACTACATTCATTATATATGTTTGTTGATTCTATACGCATCCTATATATATAATATAAAGACCGTAGTATCTCTACATTATTCTTATGCTTAGTATTCGTATAGGATCCTACTTTAATGGATCTAATATTATTCCAATACGAAATTATTACTCTATACTATACATGACCAGACAAAATATCATATTAATTTTTCATTATTAATTTTCCTGAAACCAATTTTCATAGATTTTTCTTATATTTTAAATAGTTTCATTGTTTTTCGGTAGGTAGAAACAATTTTTCGTAAAATCTGTATCAAAGTATCCCATGGCAACACTCCACAAAAAGGTCTACAATAAATAAGTAACACGTCTCATCAAATGAAGAAGCCAGAAGCAAAAGACACATTGTGGAAATGTTGGGTAATATGTCTCTATACAAAGGTTCCAATACAAGCACAAAGCCCCGCGGTGTATTGTGAATCCGCACAATACACCTTGCATATACAAGACTAACAAATTGTACTCATAATAAAAAACTATAATCAAACAATTATAAACCATATTTGCAAGACATAAGAACGTGCAGCCAAAATATATACGAAAAACTAATGCAAATATACAACCCACAGGGCATACTTATTGCGTGTCAAATTTTACTTATAAATTGTCACATTATCATTTAAGAAGCGTTTGATTACTTTAGGAAAAGTGTTTATACTCTTAATTACATCTATATGGGGTGAGTAATAAAGTGGAATCAATTTATTAGACTAGACCTGCTGGTATGCAGTAACCATCGTCTATACATAAACAGCACTACGGATATCACGTTATCATGTGACGCCCTCAATATAGCTTGGTATGTGTTGCCAAACCGGTCTACATTTAGATGTCATGTCTCTTACCCTATAATTTCGCACCCTCATCTTACTGACTGAAATGGTTGAACATCGGTACCTACCTACACAGACGACTGCGTACAAAGTCTACCTCTAATATACGTACTTCCTATATACATATATACATACTTACTTGCTTATATATGTAGTTGCGTACTTATATACATTGTACTGAAAATAAATAAGTGTTGAGGAATAAAATAAGTTTTGCGGTCCACCATTGTGTGGAGGGCGTACCGACTAGTCCAAACAGTATTTCCATTGTGTCCGCCATTACCTAGCCCTCTTTCGTCCTTTGTATTCGCCTCTTCTATTGAAGTGAGACCTTCCCAATGACGCTTTATGGGCGCTTTGAAGTATTCAAGATATGGCCCGCTACATCTACATAATTCTGAAATATTACATTATGATTTTGTTAGTTTATTGTGATCGAATTACACGAGTCTTGGTTGAGGAAATCCATTCACATTAGCTATCCAGTGAATGAGTAGTTCCGCATAAACGAGTTCCGGAGTTCAATTATTAATTGAAATATTATGAAAATTTCTGTAAACTATCTTAATTGGATTAAAAAAGTAGATATGTAACTACTTGCTACCAAGTTTACAGGTGATACATGTTTAAACTAAATAGCAGCGGGTAATGGTAGACATATTATATACTTACACTAACGAATTGCCCAAACGTCGCACGGGTACCTTATAAAATTTGAATTTCTCTGTATTTTTATACTTTAATATGTATGTAGTATATATTTATTTATTATAACTTTAATGCACAAATACAAAAATAAATATATATATATAGATAGCTTTATTAAGAAGACGATCCAATTTATTTAATAGGTTCTCATTCATATCAGAGCAGCACACATCAGCATAATCAATAATGGGGAGCACGAGGGATTGAATCAGTAAGGTCTTAGTACTGCTAGGTAGGAAATTACAACAACCGTTAAACCGAGGTCCTTGACATGCGAGAAAAATAATATAGCCGTTTTATTGAATAGTACTGGGGAACCGTATTCATGTATATAGGTATATATAAACCTTCCTTTTGAAAAACTCCATGTATTATTGAAAATTGAATTGCAATCCGTTACTTAATTTAAAAGATTTGTCTAAGCGTACGCGACGACTTTGTTTTATACTGTGGACCTTTATTAAAAAGAAGATGCTACCAAATTTTTATTGATTATTATAGAGTAGGTATATCGCTAATAATTTACGATAATAACGTATTTTTATATTTCAGGTTTTCATTTCTTCAATAATAAAAATATACATTTCAATTAATATGATTACAAATTATTCACTGCATGTAAATACCTCTTTATTTGGGTACTAATAATGCTACAAATTATGTAGTGACTGGTCCCTTACAATACATATACTATGACCACAGTTATGACGGAAATGACAGCAGTTGTTTTTAAAGCCAAAACGTAAAAAGAAATATTTCGATTTATGAAGGAATTTTTTATTTGGAAAATATTCAAAACATTAAGAGCACTAAATTCCATCATAACATATATTCATCTAATACCATACCCTGTGGATAAGTAGGTAGCTTCCAATATATAGTCAAACTTAATACAACTCCGTCGAATAAAGATAACTTAATAAAATTATTTAACATAATATTTTTTTAATTCAATTCAATTCAATTTTAATGAATTTAAATTTCACTGGGTTTATTCTATAACGTTGAATCGCAGGTACACAGGTAGCGTCGTGCGTTCACAACAAACTATAAAAACTTAGACCTCTTAACACATAGAACTTTGTGAGTCCTCCTTTGCAAACATAATTTCTGACATGTATTTGAAATGTACCTATTTAAAAAGTACAATAAAGAATATATATATTATACATAAGAACATAATGAGCCGTTTAGATAGGGGTTTTCAGGCATAAAATTATATTACAAATTAGTCCTCCGGAATGACAATACATATAAGCGGAATCACTGGCGACATATGATAACGTGATTTCTACATTGATAGTCCGGTACCTATATAGGCGACGGTTATCATTTACCATCAGAAAGACTGTCAGTCTGTTTGTTAACATAAAAAATGTAGTGCATAGTCTTCATTTTGATACATCCTAGATACTTAGGGTTACATGGGCTACATACCCTGCCCTGCAAGGTACCTTTTTTTTAACATGGGGAAAACTCTCATGGAGATCCGTCCGTCTCAGGGGTGGACGGACGGGTACTGTGAGACTCCTACTCACCAAAAACTCCATGACATTCCTCCTCGCCGCCAAAGTGCCAGGATCAAGCTAATCAACCGCGACCCCAGCGGCGTTTGCCCGCAAGCGGGCCCTCCTCGACGCGTGGGGGAACTCTGCCCAGTTCCCCCGTCTGCGCCCACCGTGGGGAAGACGCACCGGAATACGTTGCGCCTCACCCTCGGCTCCTGTTGTGTGGACGGCAGACTTGAACCCCTGAGACTGCCGCCCACACACAGCCGCGCCCGCTCCGCAAGTGTCTCTACAAGAATAGAGTCATAGCAGAAGCGGGCCACCAACGCGACGCTTAACAGCCGGAACGAGCCCCACCTGGGACCTTTGCCCCAGCCTGGGTCGCCCCCCTTCGCCGGACTATCGGCCAACATGGGAGCACTAACCCGAAGGTATTACTACCCTCCCGCCCAGGGCGTACCAGAACCAAACCACTGCTCGGCCACCTTACCCCGCGGACGTATCTACGATAATGGGGGACCTCCCAATGGCTGGACATACGAGGAGGTTTTCCGACTCACGCCTCAGACCTGTAAGGTACCTAACCAAAACTATAAAAAAATATATTTAAGTACTGATTACGATGCTTAAGAAAGTTCATACTCGACAGTCCACAAAATGCGATCAAAACAAAACGATGTGAAGTGTTTTGAATAATACAAATTATACATAAAGATACAGAGTGTCATAGGGTGTAGCCGTTTTGTAGGAAACATTTATCGTAGTAAGACCGCAGGTACAGTTTGCTGGTTATATAATATTTTAGACTACTCCCCACTCTGAGCCCAGCCCAGAGTATTTTGTCATTCTTTAAATAACTTTTGGGGGAATATTTTGGATAATTCGCACGAAAATAGCAAATAAACGTGACTTGTAATTTGGATGGTTGTAGGTGGTGTTAACTTAGGAAATGCGAAGAGCATGCCCTATAGGGCTAACGGGCATTAGTAATTTACAATAACAGGTAATTTGGATGAGTTTAAGTGAAATAGAAGAAGTTTATTTGAGTGAAGTACTTTGCAGAGTTGCGAACTGTATGAGAGTCACTCGATCTTTTAACTACGTAATTTTTATGAAGTAGTTTTTCAGTGCAGTTATAATTTTGTATTATTTTTAGTAAATCTTGAAAATTTGCTACACCTAATCTATGTGAGTAAGTGTAGCAAATGTTAGTTCGAGAACGTCAATATTCACGAGGCATACAAACTGAATGTTGGCAACGCCTTTATACTAGGCGTATGAACCGAAATTTTAATGTTAGCAACCCTGTTATACCACACCGGCCGCCATTTGCAAATTGCAATTTATTCTTAATTCTTATGAAATATTTCAAATTGTATTAGTTCTTATTTTAAAGCTTTAGATTGATAATAAAGTTATAAATGTGTCAACTAATATAGTGTGGTAAGTATTTAAAAAAAATTGTGGTAGTTCCTCTAAATTTATCAGTTTTAACCCATACTTACATTCATCCATCATGGCGACAGTAATCAATTTACATTGATCTAATACTATTTTGTACTGGAAATAAATACAAAGTAAATTTGTTCTGTCATACAGAAAATTATGGAACCATCACTGGACGCGTCCTTAGTGGCGCAGTCCATCAATTATCATGGTCAGCAGTTGCAAAAAACGTGGGAGGCGGAACGCGGAGAAGAGGACTTGTCCAAGATTGGCGTGGGAGTGCTCGACTTTGCGGTGTACCAATCCAGGCACAAACACCTTACATTCCAAGATAGAGGAAAACGGTTAAAATTACATCAGTTTATAGCTAAAGAAGCTAATGCCTTGTTTGATGCATCTGTCTTAGAGGAAGCGCCGTCATCATCCAGCCTTGGAGCGGATGCACCCACACCAGAGGACAGTAAGTAATTTCAGTACTCGAATAAAATACTCTATGCTTAAAATAAAACTGTAGATCTATATAAATCTATATAAACCCTACTCTGATTTCACCTGAGTACTCGTGGATTATATTAAAATAACATATAGCCTCTCTTTGGTATAATGTGCCTTTCAATTAATTTCCCATATCTGTAAATTAATTCCGGAGTCTACTCTTGTCATATCAAAATCCCTGTTATCTTTAATATTAGTGTAACTTAATAATCTTATTAATAAATAACAGTGCAAAAAGCACATTACCATTACCAAAAATTGTGTGTGACAATAGAAGCCACTAACACTTGGTTCTGTCTGGTACCTCACCAAAGTTGAACTGTAAATAGTAGTCTGAGTGTGTACCTCAGTCTCAACTATGTCAGATAGTTTGATTTCTAAACTGTTATAGTTGTATGACGACAGTAGGCAATGAAATTACAGAATAAGAGCCATGACATCTTAGTGCTCTGGAATAGCAATGCATTCATGCTATACATGTATGTAGGTGATGATGTACTATAATGTATGTATTAGCTAAATATGTATATAGGCAATGGCTTTATCTAATGGATGATAATTGAATGTTGCACCCATCTGCGCTAACAGATTACGCTGGGAGTGCACCAGTGGAGGATGATAAGTTAAAAAGGAGGTCTGGTTAGATAAACATGACAAATTCACAAGGAATCAATGATGATGGTTTCTAGGGGAAACCACATATAGGTCAACCTGACATAGTATTGTGCTAGCATCATGATCATCAGTCCACTTTACAAACAATCCACTTTCCCCTCCCTATAGGCAATGGTTACTGCTTACTATAAAATGGGTGATCAGTTTCTTTGCCATTCCCATGATAATCTAGTGTAAAGTTAGATATTAATGTTGCTGATTAGGGTATTTATTTGCAAAGTCATTTAGTGATAATGTATGTTGATTATACATTCAATATGATCGCAACACCCTTGTGGCCACACTTCAGCATTAATGAATGTCATAAATAAAATTTGCACTTTAATACTGGCAGACATAGTTCCATTTCATAAGTCATGTCACTCGTAAAAAGAAATCAATGGTTCAGAATGACACTGACAAGAAGACATTAAGCAATGAAAGTTTGGTCACCTAGGTCCATAGGTGATCAAACTTACATTACTTAATGTCATCTTTTGAATATTATTAATTACTATTCGCCCTGGCTTTCCACAAGAGTCCATTTATTATATATATAAACCTTCCTCTTGAATCACTATCTGTTAAAAAAATCAACTCAAAATCTGTTGCATACTTTAACCTAAGCATTCATAGGGACAGACTCTATCAGCTACTTTGTTTTATACTATGTAATGAAGTATACATTGTTATTACACACTGAAGTTCAAATTTCTATTATTAATACTTCCTAAATGATCAATTTTTAACAGCATTTTGTGCTATTTTTATTTATAAATTTATGTTTTTTTATATATTGACAAATGCAGTAATATACAATGTATGTCTTATAGCTGCAATTATATTATTGAACATCTATTAAATAACAAAATTAAAACTTTTCTATGTTTTGTTGCAGATTTGTATGCATTGATGCCGCCATTCGAGACTTTTCTAAATGTAGATAAGGCAGCTCGACTAAGACACTTCTTTGATGTAAGTACTGTTTCATAATAACACTTTATAGTTTCCTTCTTTGATTCAATTCATCCTGTATGTAGTATAAATAAAGTATGTAGGTACTCTATATTATAACAGCACTAGTCAAGAATCTTGCTATGAGATCTCAGATAAAAATTGTAATCATTATAATTTTTTTACAATCATATCATAATACTATAATGATATTGCCCTAAATTGCAAGCAAGCAAAGCAATCTTTGATGTTAAATGCTAAGTTGTACATATTTTATAGAATGTGAAGACTGGAGAACTGATCATAGGGGCTGTGATCAATCGTACAGCATCGGGAATGATGCTGAAGGTGTTATGCACAGCCGGGCCTACATCTCGATATGTTGCAGATATTAATGTGAAGGTAATATATATTTCTTTCTGTTACTCACTAATATCTTTTAATGTTTCCTAAAATCAAGTCTTATTTTTTCACTGTGCCTCAATATTTTATTCATGTATGGTATAAGTAATTACCAATACTCTGATCTATTGTGATAACAGTATTACATGTACATAGCCAATGATTCTTATATATCTCTACTCTTTGTGGACACAATTATATAGCAATACCCTTTGATTGAAGATTGAAATATAAATTCATACACTTAATACTACTGTGATATGTGATGTAATTTCTTATATCTCATCCAATTCTGTCCATTTTATTTCAGATTGATTAACATAGCATTCCTTCTGCATGTCACGTTCTCTCTATACTAATATAATACATCTTTAATATTTTAACTCCAGAATTATATTTCCCATTTGCCTAAATAAGCAAAGTTATTAGTACAAAATTGTTACAATTTCATTTCTGCTTATTTTTTGTGTAACTGATGGCAAACAAGTTGACACCCCATCACATTGTAATGGTAGCGTCGTATGCATGAACAGGTAGCACAGATCGTGAGTGCTTTTTCATTCCGCAGACTAAGATTTTTTTCATTTTTTTTTGTACCCTATAATTCAAAATTTGACTATTCAAATCGCAACATCTTAAAGCAATTTGCTTGGCGTCTGAAAAAGCAGAGACAGAGACACAGGACAAGGAAACCCACAGACAACTTTGTACAAAGTTGTCTGTGAGTTTCCTTGTCCTGCTGGGTGTCCCTATCCCTACTTGGTTAAGCAGGATGAGTCGAATGCCATAGCCAACTATGCTAATAAAAAAATCCTTGTTACACAGCTTGGCGTGAATATGAATGCTAATTCTATATACTCTAGGCTTCCCTCAGATAAAACAGCACTTTGTTTATCTAATCATAAGTAAATTTAGCATCGTACCGTAATATACTCTTGAATCATTCTATATACCTAGTTGTTGATTTAATTAATAAATTATCTAATTCCTATAGTCTCGGTAGCAACGGCAATGTGCCAAGGCCCGATACATGACCCTCTTCGGCCCTACTTCATGTTGGTGGGCACCTGTGCCATTTCCCGAATGAATATGTATTATTCCTCTCATGTCAATTACGAACTAGTTTTTTTTATTTGCCAAACTATAACTGTTTTAATATTACAACTTTGTTTGTAATGCTACCAAATGATACACTCAATAATAATAATAAAAGTTAAAATAATATAAAGTTACATCAATAAAATATTTATCTTTTTTGACAGGCATTTTTACCTGTTGCAAATATCATACCAGCCGTGGACAAGAAAAATGTGTCAAGAAACTACCTGATGAATGACACTGTGTGCTGTGAAGTCATTGAAGTTATACCTGATACCGACAAAATGGTGTGCGGCATGAAGGGGGTCACACGGGGTCCTGATGACCCATCTCCAAAGCCTCCACTTGGACTCCTCAGCACAGACGACTTTCCACTCGTCTACAAGTATGTATAAACATAATTGGTCGCATTTAGTAATCACATTGTCCCCACGCTGTTTTTACAGGATTATTGGCGAATTGATTCACTATTCTGTGTTGTTTTTATGTATTTATTTAATTTATGTGTGAAGAGTTTTTTATAACTATAAAATCAGTGGTATTTGTTTGTCAAGAAGAGAAATGTTTGAAGGAAGATAATCTGAAACATTTGTACAAGCAAGACTGAATTTTTATCATAAAACAATAAGATGACCATGAGTAATTGGAACAATGAATATCATTTAATTGAATGGACATATTGACGTTTAATTGGCGCTGAACATTTATTTCAATGTAAAACTGATACGAGGAATACCCCTGTTTTTGTAGACTGTCTATGTGGTTGGTTTTTACACGGCTATTGTATAAATATTACGTACACTTGGGTAGGTATATATAAAACCGAAAATCGGGCTTTGATGTTTTCACTGGTTTCTGATCACTTTTCAGTACAAAATCACACTTCACCAAATATCTGAGAATTATTGCATGACATTATTTAGGAACTGATGATATACTGAGAATACACTTGGAATAAAAAGGATTCTATCATTAAACTACATTTTTGAAGATTACGTAAAGCATTAGATACTATTGAGGACGATCCAGAAATTGGTAGTTGACATTGTTTACATCTTTTTTTTATTAATATTAATAATAAGGTCAGTACAAATTTAGGGTCTCATTCTCATCTCTCTGTAACAGAAAATTGTAATTCTGTATTAAAGCTAATATTTAATATTCCAGCAATATGTCAGAGCATTATGATTGGACTTTTATAATGAGCATTTATTGGATGTTGGAGTTTTTATTTGTAATAAAAGGACTATCTACTGGCAATTATCAATTTAGCTGAAACTGTCTGAGATGCACAGAGATATCGCGGCCGTTTCCAGCGTTTTAAATAAGACTGGCTGATGTGCACCATGGATGCACTTCCCTCCACTATTTTAGGGTGTTCTTTTCTAGGTATAGCAACGCTTGCCAAGACCAGCGGGTCACATCTACCGCATTGTACTGTGACTAGCTGAGACATTTTGGTAATATTAATGTCACATAGTCGCGGAGGCATCACCTAATACATATACGATGTTCTATTTGTGTGTGAAAGAAATAAAATACAAGTAAAATAACATTTTTTGAACAGCTCCATTGGAACAGGTGAGGATACGTATGTGTGACATTAAAAAGACTTAATATATATAGGTTTAAAATGCTTGAAAGAATTCAATAAATCATAATTCGAAGATGTTACTATAAAATTGTAATGGAATTTCTTCATCATTAAAAGGACTGATTATTTACGAAAATGACCATGTACACTAATTTGTTACGTTTTCTCATAGGAAAACAGTGGATATGAAGGGAGAAAGTTACGAAGCCATTTTGGAGAAGAGCCCAGGCTTCAATAACCCCAACTGCGTCCAATATCTGTCTGAACTTCTTGGAATCTCCAACACGCACTGCACTAACTTTGTTTCGTTGAGGTATGTATTATTATGTCATTATAAAAGTGTACTGTACAAGTTATAATAATCATTGTGACGTTGTAACCACAAAATATTAATATAAATACATTGCCGACGTTCACTCACACAGTATGACTGAATGTATAGTGACTGAATGGTTGGATCTATTTAGATAAATGAGGTATTATAATAGCTATAGTATTGTTTCATATTAAACATTCTCTACTTACCATTACTACATTCTATATATATTGTTATGTAGAACGTAGTAAAGTGCATATCCTTTTAACGTTAATTAAGCAGTATTTTTTTTTCTCACATGGCTAGCAATGTAAGCGTAGTTGGGTTCAATCGGTATGACTTTCATCTTTGACCGCTGTAGACTTTTTACAAAGTGGTCTAGCTGTGTCATCTATTCCAGCAATAAAGGCACTTACTTTGTAAAATTATTGTGTTGAAGTGTGACATAAGGCGATAACATTACTGGCTATGGTGACATGACATCGTAGCCCTCTAGAATGGCAAAGCATGAACGGTACTACAGACTTCACATAGTAACATGCCAGTGATGCTATTCATGTATATAGGCCATGATTACGTCTAGATGGACTTAACTTACAAGCTGACTACTATTCTACCTATATATATTTTAAAATATACATGCCATTTTAAAATTTGTATGGGTAGAATACACTTCTTTCTACTTACATTTATAGTGCAATTTTGATTGTAATTCATCATTATTATTTACAGGGGAAGATTCGCATCAACAGAATATGCAGATGAACTTCGTCAAGCTCAAGCTAGCAAATGGGCGTTCCGTTCTGTCGCTGAAGGCATAGAGCATTTCAAGGCCGGAAGGCATTCCGAAGCATTTCAATGCTTAAACAAAGCCCTGAGTATCGATCCTAGAAATGTAGAAGGTCTCGTGGCCAGAGGCGCTCTGTATGCAAACAGCGGCACGTTCAAGAAAGCTATAGAGGACTTTGAAACGTCATTAAAACTAAACCCAAACCATGCTAATGCTAGGAAATACCTAGGAGAGACACTAGTTGCGTTAGGTCGGAGTTACGAAGATGAGAACAAGATAACTGAAGCCCAGAAGGCTTATGAGGATTGTCTGGCAATTATACCATTCCATGAAGAAGCACAAAATTCTCTGGATTTCCTTAAGAGCAAAACATCAACCACCAAACCTTTGATAGAGCCAGCTGAATTGTTATTGCCTGGTCTCACTGGTGCGAAATCATTTGAGATGAAGGAAACACTTAAACAGCTCTTAAATCTGACAGAGAAAAAGGAGAAGAAGAAAAAAAAGAAAAAAGGTAAAGGTAAAAAGAAGAGATCAAGTAGTTCCTCTTCTTCATCCAGTGATTCGTCCAGCTCCAGTTCATCTTCTGATTCATCCTCATCATCATCTGAGACAACTGGTAAGAATAACCTTATTATATATTATTTCTTTTTTTATTTTTAGAATAATAATAATAATAAATACTAAATTATTTATTTAGCTCTTTTTATGTCACAATACCAATATTATAATATGTCATATATCTTATACTTTTACACAAATTACTATAATTAATTAACTAAGATTCAAACAAAAAATACATAGTATTAGTCATATAAAATATACTGTAACCGAACTTTGGGTACTATATCAATTATGTGTATTTGAACATAGATTCTGAAGGACCCAACCGCAAGAAGAAACGGCGCTCGCAATCCAACAACAAACGTCAACGCTCTCTATCGCCACTCAGCAAGCGTATGGCAATGCTGGGCGACTCCGACTCAGCATCACGTACCCACAACTCGCAATTTAACCACCCATACGGTTACCAGCCGCCTCCGCCTCCTGCTGAGGAGGCAAATAACGTGCCTGTTCGGTCGCAAGCCGACATCGACTACGAACTTAAGGTAATATACACATACAGACATGTAGGCTGTACACGATATTTCATTGTCAGATAATTAGATATGTATTTATGTATGGTTTATATATACATAAACATGTGTAGCTATTCATTCATACTTTTGTATATATGTATTATATAATTTATTTGTATTTGCACTACCAACAATTATTCTCTGCCCTTGGTTGAATGGTAAATAATACCGCATGATGCTAAGTCCGCCATATGTACTTTGAAATTATGTGTATTAAAGTTATATAGATAAATTAATAATATTTCTATTAATTTCAAATAGCAATGTGAGATACTATTATTATATAAACTAATTCACTCGTATTTACGTAAATGGAAATAGCCAACTTAAATTTCAATATTTTATAATATAATTTAAAAATGGATCATAATTGGTTGGTTGCAGACAATAACAATACCGTACGGTAATTTTTAGATAAAATTATATAACTACATCGTATCATGTTCATCATTCATCTAGATTACACGCTGATCAATAGAATTGAAGTAGTCACATAATCACTCTCTACTGCTTCTACTTAATGTTGCTCTAGACGATTTATCTATTGACAAGGTTTAGAAAATCTACATAAGGAATACTAGTACAAAATTTCAGATTATAGCAGTAGTTTGTACTGTCTATTAAAATCAGTAAGTAGTTGAACAATTTATTCAAATATTTTATAATTTAACTGGAATGGGAATCTAGTTGACTTCCTACCTTTTGGTAATTATTAACCGTCACTTATAAAGCTGAACAGCGTCACGATCATTATCTCATCATGGCATGGTTGGTGGCATCATTTATGTTCTGTAATTTGCAAGCAATCTGTTTGAAAGGCGAGACAGAGGATACCTCTGTCTCCACTGTCTGTACTCCACTCAAATGGAATATAAAGTATTCCTGTAAAAGCTGAAGTATGTTAAACAAATTTTAAGGATGTGCCTATTTTATGAAAGGTATATATAAGTAAGCAACAAACTATTGTATATTAAAATAATACCAAGCTCTGAATCTTGTTATCTCATCCTATAATCAATATTATATCAGGTACGGAAATTCCTGGAGATGACCAAAGAAGACTCGGACTATGAAGACAAAGTGCGCAACTTCTTAGAGGAAACTGCTCAATACAAGCGCAACCGCAAGATGCAAGAGTTAGGACAGCAACCGCAACCAGGCGCCGAACATGAAAAGAAAAAGAAGAAGAAGAAAGACAAGTCTGTATCAATCCAAATTTCATTTATAGTTACGTTATAACGAAGCTCTACCCTCATCTGTTATTCAACAACATTAATATGCAGGTTTATAAATCACATATTACTCTTCACACAATCATGTGCGCGTGTGGGCGATAATGGTGTCAAAGTATATGATACATTTTTTTTTACTTACTCATTTATTGTATCTTAACATGTAACATCTATCCAGGATTTAGCCGGTAACCATTGTACGATTTATAAATCTACCTAACATATAAATGTTCTTATTATCAAATAACAGGTGAGTACATTTCTCTCTTACACTATCTATTAGTAGTGTGATATTTTATTATAATTTGTATCAATACTTCTTTATATTCCAATAGAATTGAATTAATAGTTTTTTAAAAATGTTATTTAACAGACAATGCTAACATTGTACAAAAATAATGCTAGAAATGTGGATTACAGTGCATAACAATATATAATAAAAACTATGTCCTTAGTAGTATTTACTGCAAATAACTCTAGCTATTAATCTTGTATCTAAAGGAATTCTTTAAAAAAAAGGTGGGCTGTCAATTCTTTGGGCCCTTCCATAGAATACATAAAAATGATTGAAGTAATTGTTATTGAATTATACAGAAAAAAGAAAAAGGAGTCCAAACGAAAGCGGAAAGAACAAGAAAGAGAAGAAAAACGCAAAGCTAAGATGGCACGTTCAGCGGCCAACAATTCTGAATACAATCTTCGTGAATTGGACAATATAGGAGACAAGAAACTAAGAGATGCTATTAGGTAAAAATACAAAATAATTTTATTACAATATTTGATTAAATTTCTTGTAATTAGTTACAGACTTGAATTATTTCAATTATATTTAGATATGCAACCACTATACACGTGCTAGGAAACTGAGAACAAGAAATTTATTTACAAATCAATAAAATAAAGCTTCATAAAGTCACAGCAGCAATGAATCATATATAAACTTCACATAGTATATACATTACAACTTCATAAATTATAGTATGTACATATTAAAATGTCACGTTACAAATGGAAATGGTTAGAAACCAAATATTTATTTCACAGAAAAGAACTGAAAGGGAAATCAAAGAGAGATCTGAGTTCAGAAGGGGAATATGACAGAAAACATGGTGACAAAAGGTATTGTCTTTTATCTAAATGTTTAGTTTGTAATCTACAAGAGTGGTGAATTATGGTTCCTTATGTTATACAACTTAATATATATCACAAGTAGTGTTATAGTGCAGGTTAGCTGTCAGTATGCGTTAACTTATTTTGATTTATGAACTACATGATAATAACGTATAGAGAAGTTTCTTCCTTTTCATATATATCATATCTTAAAACTGTGAGTTATGATTAAATTATTAAACTTAATATTATATATTAATTTTCACATTTTGTGTCTCTGCATTCTATGTTTATTTGTATGTTATATATTTATATGTTTTACATTAGGCCCTCATGGGGCGGACAGGATGGTAAACATTTATTTGTATAAGTTTTTTCAATAACATTAAATTAATAATGAATATACTGAAAATATTCACTGCAGGATAATGGACGAGATGCACGGTCTAGAAGAGTTGGAGTCAAAACTAAGCGCCTACCACGTTATGGTGGAAAAGGAGGTATTGGGCAAGCGCGATGGACGAGGGTCAGTCAGTCCAATTGACCAGGCGCCGCCGCCACCGCTCGAGAAACCCAAGTGGAAGATGTCTATGAGTGCGGTCAAAGACTCGTGAGTTATTAAAATATAAAGCACCTACGAATGAGACTGTGTATATATGTATATATAATAACTGTAAACAAAACAATACTAATATCATTTCACTCGCATATTGTTCATTGCTGTCTGACTTAGACATAGCTTATTATTCTTTCTTTATTTTAGGATATTAATTATATTTTTATTGACCAGGGTTAAGAAGAAGGAAGCCTCAGTTCCTAAAGGTTATAAAGAGCGTTATGCTTTTGATGACAGCTCTGATGATTCACAGGAGGTTACTAAGGTATGAATTTTTTTGTATTTTTTTATATAGTTGGAATAGCAAAGAAGTTCATTACCCACCCAACTGATGGTAAGCGTTAACCATTGCATATGAAGCACTATGAACATCAATTGTCATCAATTATCATCTGACACTAGTATTATCACTAGTGTGTTGTCATTAGAATAATTATGCCTTTTATTCTGTAATTTCGCTGCCTAATCGCATTCATACGAAACACAGCTAACTGCACTACACAAAATAATCTGTTTTGCTGTTAAAATGGGTGAGATAAGAATACATTTTACAAAATCTACCTAGGGTAAAAGTGCCGAAACAAGGTGATCTATTAATACCTTGTAATATTTGTATGCAGCCGTCTCCTTCGAGCGGTGATAAGAATGTGTCTGTACGCCGCGCGATGGCCATGAAGGAACCACCGCCGCTGCCGTCCGCGCCGCCGCCGCCCAGGAAGTCGAGGGAACCCGACCCGCCAGGCACGGAACCTTCTCCACACCCGCCGGTACACACACTATACTAAGTTCTACTTAAGTGCAAACAGCAGGCGCATACAGTAACTGACACTATTAGTCAAACATTGCCAAGAATGGGCCACGTCTGATTGACCTGCAGTAGTAACCATAAAATGGATATGAAAGTCGATATTGTTAGCAATGGAAATACTGCTTTTTTTTTATACCACGTAGGTGGCAAACATGCATACGGCCCATCTGATGGTAATAAACGGTCACTGTAGCCTATGGACGCCTGAAACACCTGGGGTGTCACATGCGCGTTGCGACCCTTAAAAAACCTTAATATACCCTTCTTGAAAAACCCCATGCTGTAGTCTCTCGAGAAAATCTCGACAGGTAGTTCATTCCACAATCTAAGTGTAATTAATGTCTAAAAACTGCTAATATCAGGCTCCACTCTCTATTAACAATCATGATATTGTGATCACGCTTGCACTAATAGTATACGCTAGCGCGATACCAGTGGAGAATGATGAAATCGATCAAATAAAATTTCATACTCCTTGCGCTCAAATTTCGTAAAAAGGGATACAATATTTCTGCTTCACATAGTAATAGACAACTAAGTGTTCAGGAAAGAATGTGTCGTTTAGGTTATCAATTACTAACGATCGTCTCAATTCATATTCGGTAGCATAATCATATATGTGATATACAGGTTCGGAAGGGCAACATAGTGCTCGACAAGTTCGGCTCGTTCCGCCTGGCGCAGGAGGGCGAGACGCCCGTGTCTGTGGGCGAAGGTCGGCCCGAGCAGTTCGTGACGCGGATCAAGCCTCCCACGCCGGCCACGCGGCGGCCTCGCTCGCCGCCGTCGCCGCGCCGCCGCTCCACCGACGACTCGGAGGACGACCGACGCTCGCCCAAGCGGTCGCGTAGCCGGTCAGTATTCTTATAAACAAGTTTTTATCCTCATACATTTATTTTATAGGAATAATATCCCCGGATAATTAATATAACGCCTTCTAGGCAGAAGGTAAGAGGAGCTTGTGCTATGTGTACTAGAGAGCTGATATAGATTCATAGTAAATATACAGAGCGATTCGAAAACTTTTAATTGTCACATATGATTGTATCGTGCGAGGAATAGTGGTGTGCTAAACCGCTTGACCACCGAGGCCGTCGAGTTATCTATTTATCTTTAATTTCTAGAGGTGCGCCTGCGTAATGTGTAATAACACATTACCTTGTTGATTTTAAACTTCAAATTTTTTGTGTCAATTGATTGATTAATAATCTTTTTTGTCCTAAAATTGTTTATTAAATATACCCACTACCGAATTTGAAAGTAATAACAAAATATGAGTAATACGTGTTGTTTGCAGATCTCGGCCCCGAAAGTACCGTTCACGTTCAGGCTCGGCCTCCCGCTCGGGCTCCAGCGCCAGCGGCTCGGTGTCTCGACGTCGCCGCTCGGGATCGCCGCGATCTCGCTCACGATCAGATGCCAGCCGCTCGTACTACTCGCGCAGTCGCTCACGCTCTCGCTCCGGCTCCAGAGAAAGGTACAGTTATGAAAATAATGTAGTTGGTAATCCAATAGGAAAATTTTGATAAATCATCTCGAAAAAATGCCCTAATGAATACAGAACAACAAACAACAACAGCAATATTAAAAGGTCGTGTTATTTAACACACACTTGTTTAAAATGATTGAGATATAAAAATCTAATATGTTTCTACAATAAGAATAAATGATTACGCTCGGACAGATGTTGGTCAATTGTGTGGGTTGACATCCTCAGACAGAAACTTACACCAAATATTTCCTTTAGGTGATCGAACAAAACTAGAAATGTCGACAGCTAATTTCCACTAAAACCGGCTTGTAACGACAGATTCCGTTCGCGTTTCAACCGGCGTGGCAACTGGCGCGGGCGTGGCGGCTTCGAACGCGGCACGTACTACCGGCCCCGGTTCCACACGTACAACGGCGGCGGCCGCGGCCGTGGTCGCGGAGGAGACTTCCGCCGCGACGACGGGCGACGCTTCCAGCACGAGTGGCGCGACAACCGCTCCCGTGGAGGACGACCGTTCCGTCCGCGACGGGGCGGCGGCGGCCGAGGGAGACCATTCAGGTACAATAACCATATTTTTGCCGAAAGAGTAAGAAAATTAAATACTATTCAACAAATGTATCCAAATTTCTCTTTTATATGAAGGTATTGACAACGTTTATCAAAATAAAAATAGATACAATGAAATACCATCCTAATTATCCTAGATAAATGGGGGAGCTCCAAAGCACACACGCACACCTTTCAGCAATGGTATTTCCGAACCAATACGATATTGAAACCTTAAAAAGAAAGCTTATTCCTTCTTAAAAGGACGGCAATGCACTTACAATTGCGGGTGTTGCGGGTGCTCATGGGCGGTGGTAATCACTTACCATCAGGTGAACCTCAAGCTCGTTTATGCCCTGTCCTATAAAAATTTCATAAATTTGCTGATCAAAGTATCGATATTTGGTAATATAATAAACTATGTAAATGTATTATGTGCATCCTCATTTTTATTTGACTAAAATAGGAAACATACAAATCGCCCATTACTAATGACCCAATTTTTAAATTGCGAGACAATAAGTGTAACTTTGTTTGTTTGTACAGAGGTGGAGGATTCCGCGACTTCCGTGACCGACGTGGCGGACGGTACTCGCGCTCGCGCAGCCCAGACCGCACCAGACGCTCCAGGTCGTACAGTCCGGAGAGACGCGAAAAAGACAGAGATAGGTCAGTATCTTCAAATCTTAAATGTATTGCCATCATTAATATTTCAATTAAATACTCTATTTACCTAAAATTTAGATATGTTATTGTTGTGTTCAGCACAACGCCGATTATTTTAAAATTCCTACTGTAAAATTTGTTTAAAAAATGGCCACTTATTTATTTTAGCTACTCCCGTTACTCTGGACGGGACAGCCATCGCAGTGAAGGAGAATATGAAGAAGAAAGGTTTGTGGATAGAAAGGAATATGACGGAAAGTGGGCAGATGGTAATGAACCAGAGAGGCCTCCAGCAGAGGAGAAAGCCCCAGAACAACAGCAACCCCCTAAAGACCAATAGGGATAAAAAGCCACCTATTTGTTTGTTTAAAGAGTGTACTAGATGTAAGTGTTTAGGGCTATAAAATAATTGAGTGCAGTGAATTCAAGCACATTAATTAGTATCTTCTAGATGTAAATAGTTATATTTCTCACATTTGATTATCTTCAAATTAATTTCCCAATTGTATTTGCCATAAGCAATGATATTTTGTTTATACATTATTCTATGTAATTAATATTACGCTTTAAAATCATATTTGTTGCAGTAATAGCTATTATTCATTCCAATCCGAAATAATTGGTAACCAAACATTAACCAAATCTTAGTAATTATTTTGTTATTTGCTAACTAGCTATATATAAAAAAGACCTAAACCTGTATTACAAAAATAAACTAAATTTAATCAAATTGTCTATTTATTTCCAACAATTCAAATTCCAAACCCTTACCATATTGTCCTTGTGAGTAATGTACCATATCTGATTGACCACGCGTTCTCTAGGGAAACCATTGTGGTTAATTCATCACGATAGTCTTAACTCTATACCATTGCAGGTGAATACACCGTGCCGGTATCCATTGTCCGCAATTACTCTTTACAGCTTCATCGGACAAAAAAGGGGTGGCATTCCAAACTAGCGGAACCTTCTTTTGGCACAGCTCTAAACCAACTTCTGCCGAACGGACAGCATGGTGGGTGCAGCATCATACCATTACTATCCACGTGTAATGTTTTGCGTGATTTTGACAAACATCCACTGAGAAATGTGTCAAAATTCATTCGTTCCAATGTTTTCAACCAAACCAAAGTGATAACATGTATGTATATGAAATCATCGCTATTCACTATATCCAAAAGTAACCTGAATCTAAGGATGACGCAGGTGGAATAGTTACAACGCGAGCTTCAAAGCGTTTGGGTCCGCATTAACATGATTCATGAAGGGTCTTCCTTCAAGAATCATGTTACTAACCGAAGCGACCGGCGCTACCATAGTAGATTGCGGTCATCAGTGCCGTGAGCACGACATATATTTATATATTGTTACATAGCTATGTCAGACAAGATACATATTTGTGATATGGGCCTTTAGTAACCTGAAATAAATAAATTAAAGTAATAGTGATTACTTTCTACAACTGTAAAAATAATTACTAAATTAGTCGCCATTTATAGCTATCTGTTTTCATATGTAGATAAATTCATTTCGGCTTTGTATATTATAATTATTATTATTTGATACTCACAGGTAACCTTACAATATGTATTATGTTTAAACTTTCAAGGTATTCCGTGTGAAAGTGAAGTGTGAACTAGTTCGAAATCTGTACTTCAGTCTTTCTGTAGGACCTTACAGTACTATATTATATATCTTAAAAATTATTAATATATCGGTTTATGACTTAGTTATACAATTTTATCTTGATATCACAGATAACATAATATTACTATATGTATTTGTGTGCGTGCATGTGAGAGGGTGTGTAAAGAATTTAAATACTACAGAAAATTTATTGTCCACAACAAAATAATAACTTAAATATGTAAAATTTGAATAATATATATTATATTGAATAATATAAAATGAATATATTACATACATGCTTCGTAATGCCTGGAGCAAGCAATATAGTGACACGTCAAGATATCTGATAGGATATACAGAGTTAGATTATTCAGACACAGTTATATTCAGTAGTAGTGCTGCAGTTTATGATAATGGCAATGAGTGCAATATTTCATCTAGTATATTATATACCACATGCCTCCGGGGTTTTGTCAGAATTAAGGAAGATACATATACTACACTTCAATTTATAGTCAACTCTTTTATTACCTATGTCCAACAGATTTCATTACTGTTCTATGAATTTAATTATATAGAAATTGCAGGCAAGAATGGGTGGAAATAACAAAGATCTTATTAAATTACAACCTCTTTTATTCATGATATTTTATAATTACATTTGTTCTAAAGTATTCAAGCATTATTTTATGAACGCTTCTTTTTCTTATTTTTGCTTGTTTTGTCTGCATTCCAATACCAAAGCAGTTGCAACACCAATGCAGCATTGGCAAAGGTTGATACACTGTATGTGAGAATAATAATAAAGTCACCAGTTTCTTGAATGGAAGTGAAAATACGAGCCACACTGCCACCAAATAGGAGAAAACAGGTGACAGCAGATAATTGACCTGTGCTACCGTTTTTGTAGTTTGTAATAACTTGGATAGCCTGAAAACAAATAAGACTATTTATTACATTCTGTATATCATCTACTGCAGATGACCATTACAGTGGAATAATAATTTTAAAAAAATTATCTTGAATTCTCATGATAAGCTAAGAAATATGATTTCTCTCAAATCTATGAAATGTCAATTGACTTATGTGTTATGGGTCTATAATCCAACCAAGAATGAAAACCATAACCAGAGTCTACTCTGCGGGGAAAAAAATTGTCTATTTTAATGAAATTTTTATATTTTCAGGATGTCTTGATATTCTAAATTGAAGAATTCGTTAACGATAATATTTTTTTTTTATAGAAAAACTTTAAATCTATAGCACTGACAATATTATCTGATTACATTAATAATGAGTGCGTAGCGACTTCTATGTTGATTATAGCATGCCTCTTGTTATACTGTAATTATATAAATAATTACAGTATAACAAAAAAAAAAAACATCGCTAAAAAAACATCTATTAAAAAGAGCAACACACAAGTTTCTTGCTCATTCTTCTTGTGATGAATCTGCATTCCGAATGAGTGGTAGAATCAAAATATGACTATTCAAAAGTGCTTGTAATGATTTTATTTGAATAAAGATTATTTCTATTTCTATTTTTTAGTTACAATAGTTGTCTATTCTTACATAAAAGTAAACTTGTCAATTCTCTAAATGAAAGGACTTTGGATTTTAATAAAAAAAATAACTTCAAGGTAAACTACCTTTTTCACTTGTTATTATTGAATTGCTCTGTTTTGTATATGTTACTACTGTTGTACTGTGTCACTATTATTATTAAAATAAATATACCTATGATAGGCAAGGAAATACAAAATGGGAATGTATAGTATGGCCCTTTGGACTAAATTATGAATCTAATTTAATTAAACCTATATATCTTGCTGCTTTAATGCTTATAAACTTCCCACTGTTTAATATTTGTGATACCTTAGTAACTAAATTTGTAATTTATTTAATAAAATGCAATAATACCTTTGCTATTAATATAATAGGTACAGTTGCAGCTTGCATTGACCACAGAATATCTGTAGGTGTAAAACCACTGACTAGAGCTGAAACAAGTCCCACATATGTTGCTAAGAACACCGCAGCCCTCCCTGCTCCACCTCCATAATGTAAAACTAGAGCTGCTATTATTGCTGTTTGTATAGCTAGAAAAGTTCCTTCACCCCATGCACTGAAAAAAAAATTTCTTTAGAAACAGATTAATTGATAAGATGTTTATATTAGAGTAAACATAACAGAAGATTGATAGGTAAAGTGAGATTGAATGGTGCCCTCTGGAGCCCACAGCATATTAATCAAGTACCATTACTTTATCTCAAAATTTTTATGTAGTTTCTTCATTGTGTTTTATTAATTTTATTAATCTTAACAATTTATATTCTGTTGAATTACATTTTAATACATTGTACAAATTATAATTTATTAATGAACTGTCCTATTTTTTTATAAATAAATAAAAACATATTATGGAAAGCAAAATGTCAATGTATAACTAGGAATAATAAATTAAAAAATGTCCATTATACTGATTTCATAAATTGTATAGTGAAAAACACACTAATGTTAAATGTTAAATATAATGTTTTTGTAAGTTATGTGTCTAATAACCATCCGAGGGTCCTGTGCCCATGCAATTTTGCCCAATATGCCTCAAAAACATTTCCTGACAAGTTTTTATTAATATCATAATAAAAGTAAAACATAATCACCTGAATGGGAAACTCATAACATAACTGTATGCAAAGTTTGCAGTAATTGCAAACAGTTCTAAACAAACACCATAAAAGTTGATCCCCTTGGCACTTTTACTATTTAGAATTTTTAAGATTTGTGGCACTTTGACCAATATTGATCCAGCAATGATACCAATGCCCAGTCCTTTACTCAGTGTAGCTTTAAAACATGGTACTGAAATAAATTAGAGTTGCAAATAAGAAAGTATAAAAAAGTACTTTCCAGTACAATGGTATTTAAGATAGGAGATATTGGTAGTCTTTTATAAACAGTATATCCAAACATCAATATATAGTTATTCTATGAATTTTATATTATAAATACGAGACTATCGGTTCGTATGTTTAATTCTATTATTATTGTTTCTTATTAATTATCTATTTAATTAAGAACAACGATTATAAATATATTATTAAATCTGACGTGTAGATTATATCACTATGACGGACGTAGACAAGATATTGTCCCAAAAAAAGCTGATAATTGCTGGTATTTAATGAGTGTCATAATTACCATCGAGAAAGTTAAACTTAGTAAAATATTCTTCGTAACATTCAGGAGAGAATATTGAAGATATTACGCCTTTTAAAATGTCACCCATTGTATCACTTTATTTTGTATTAATGCTTTAAATGTCTTTTTTTTACAATAAAAAATAATTAGCCAATAGGTTACTCAATTGTAAAATAAATTAATAGATTAGATTAGATATGCAGTATTTGACAGCATGTATACAATACATACATATTATGTTTATTATATATTGCTGATGTGTACCGCAAACCTAGGCTTGTGTAATTCGCGAAAGAACTAGTTCCTGGTCGACTTGGTCTTCTAAAGAGTGTTAGATCCCCAAATCCCTGACTTTAAACCTCTTATTAAATGCTGGTGTTCTTATTATATACTATATGCTATATTTGTGGGTTTATTGTAATCTTGTTTGGTTTTTAACTAGTGCCGAAGAGCGCTCCCAAAGACGAACTGTGGGAGCTAGTTTGGAGAAGTTTCGTCATTTAGTCCATTTTGAAAGACTTCCAAAAATAGCCGGTCAGTTTCCACGCCTGTAAGTATTTTTTAACAAGTCCTACAGCATTTCTCTGATTCCATGAGCGAACGAACTACTTCGCAAAAATGTCAGAACTAAATTGAGCAATTTAGTTCCGACTTTTTTGCGAAGTAGTTCGTTCGCTCATGGAATCCTAGTCGCGAGCTTTGTGTAAAAGACTACATATTGCACAGTGTAGCAAATTAATGAGAAGAGTAAGAGGCAGTGACAGTCGACAGTGTCGTTTAGAGTTGCCAATTTCGAAACTGTAATATTTTTGATGACAAGCAAATTTGCAACTTTTGTACAATCTGCAAAATTTTGCAAGACAAGTTCAACGTAAGTCATAAAAGGACGATGATATCCTTATACTCGTATCGATGACCAAAAACCTCCTACAAGGACATTTTTAGTGTTTTATCTTACGGTTGCCAGTCCTCAATGAATACAAATCGTCGTATTACGGATTTTCTATAGTCCAAACAACTAATTTTACAAATTATACCACTTTATTTGTAGTCGATTGGGTTAATCACAAGCATTTAATAATTTTATTTATATTGAAAGGAAAAACAAATTAAATAGCGAATTCGTTTATTAAATCAAATCGATAAATACTACAGTATTAAAAATGTCTTGCATATTAAAGTTTGAATATTATGACAAATATATTAAGGGAATTGAAGACATTATGAATATAATCATAAGACGAAAATAACAATGCTTAATAAATGTAAAGTAATAAGAGTTAATAGACAAAATTTTCTTGAGTAATGTAAACTTGGTACCTGCGTAAGGAACCAATTTTTCAGGCATTCGTGAATTTTTTTGTCGTAGTCTCGTAGCGACATGTTAGTTATATTAGTCCACCGGCGGTATATCCACATGGGTTCACGTGCTTCAAGGTAGACGCTATATTTCAACCTTGTTATATTTTACAAAACTCAGCCTTTTGTAAAATTTTCATCATGCTTGATAGTAATTTATCAACATAACATTAGTCACTTCACGATAGCAAATATAATAATTTTTAAAGAGATTACATAGTGCCAGCCTAGTATAAGTTAAACCTTTTACAAACTGTTATACTTATATGAATTGTACAAACAATGGTAGGATAAATATTACAAAATTAAACGTACTTTATAAGACAGGCGGCGCTACTGGCAATGTATAGATTACTATACAGATGAGTTGGTTGCAATTAAAAAAAATAGTCTCCCATAGCTGTAGATCAAAACTCGTATCTGCCAACTCTTAATAAACGCCAGCACCTGGATACACAAGCGGTGGTTGAATCCAGTTTCCACTTCTATATTATTTTCAGTATTAAAAGTGAGTTTAACATCGAGACATATTAGATACATATTTGTCTCTTTGTAAATATAGTACATTTTATAGTATACTTCTTATATATTTCTATGTAAAAGCATTCCATTAATATATGACAACATTATTTCAAACTAAAATGTCTAAAGAACATACAATTTGATCTGTTATATTATTTACTTATACCAATAACGATATTCTGACATGCTAGTAAGATGCTAAACATGACTAAGGCATTTGTTTGTACTAAAAAATATTAATAGACAGAAAATTGGTGACTCATGAATGAAAATGAAAACTCATGAAATGAAACATCATATCCTAAGACAAATACATAAATATGTTCTTAAATCACACCAATAGCCTAAATTTATGCTGAAACTTCTTAAACACAGACCATACACTTAGGCACCTTAAGGACATAAAAACATAAGCCTATTACACGATATTGAAACAATATTAGCAATTATATGTGGTATATTTTTCTTGATTACAAAAAGTAATACTTATTACTAAGGGGATATCGATTATTTTTTATAGTACCACAACTAATTTTGTTCTTATTACTGTTCTAAATTTATATGAGGAAGATATATATATAGCCAGCACTTAATTTTGAGCAAAGAAAAAAATAAGCACAAAAACCATTTAGTCCCATGTCTATGCAATACCATAAATGATTTGTAAACATTCAAGCAAGATAAGTTGTTTAACGTAAGTATTTATTGCCGCTATGTATGTGTATATGTACATAATGGCACCATATAATAGCCTGTAACCTATCCTATATGGGATGCGATTTGAAGATATACAGACAGTATAATTTATCACAAGATCGAAACCTAAAAATATAAAATAATCGTAATTTTAAAACCAATATATAATTAATTTTTTTTTTCAATTAATCTGCAATTTATGTGTAACAACCGTTTGTTACAATGCTCAAGTTTCCATTATGTTTATAAAATCTTGTTAGCAATTGAACACAGGTGCAGAAAACTTGTGCGCTAATGACAAGTTTTCAGCTATCTTTAGTAGAATAGTAATAACTTAAATATTAAAAAAACAAATGAAATCTTCATAATCTCCACAGGATTTTAGTGAAATGCGTATGAATTTAATACAAAATGTAACAATACTTCTGGAGAGAATTAAAAATGTCACTTATCCCCTAAAGATGAATCACATATTCATTTCGTATATCCATCTGTATTACAATATAGTTGTATTAGCTGGGTATATAAAATGTATATGATACACATTATTTTCTATTTGTTAATTCATTACAAAGGAATGACTCGATTACAGTATTCACAAATACATACATATATTGTGTATAAAACGCTCAACAACTTTTACAAAATGTCACGAGAAATTGATTATTATATTGAAAATAAACTGTGTTAAACTGGCCCCACATTATTAGATTCAGTCGAACAATCGTCCTATGCGATTACACTTTGATTCGCGAAATTACCCTGCACCATGTGACTCTTCGGAAATGCGCTAATCTGATCAGGCTAGCATAGGAAAATTGTCCGAATGAACCTATTGTTAGGCCAGGTTTACTTATTACAAATATTTACATAAAAACTTAATGCTACTGCATTTCTTTGTAATAAAATAATTATTAAACACTACAATTTACACAATTATGTCAAATTTTAAAAATAATCTGTAAATTCCGTAAAACATTACTATGAATTACTATGTATAAAATGAAAAAACTATATACAAGTATCTGTTTAAAGATAAGCCTATTTAATGTTCGCCCACATTAAGAAATCTTTATAGTTTTATTTTAACTTTATTATTTTTAAAATAAAAGTCCGTGTCATATGGACGACTTCATATGAAATATCTACTTTGGTAAAAAGATAAATATCTAAATTACTGAGATGGATTGTAAGACCAATTGATTATTTGCATACAAGATGAAATGTTTACTTATTTTATAGCCATAGTAGTATATAAATACGTGTAGTAGTGGTACATAGCTGTTATGGATAAAATAGCAGAAATATGAATGAGATAATTTTTAGATTTGTAAGTGGCAAGAAGGTTTTAAATTATGAATTTGTTCATAGGCTTCACTATTTACTTTCTCTTAATTGATCAGAGTCCAAGCTCAGTAATTATATCTTATATTTGTACAGTAACAAAAAAATCATGATAAGAATTAGGAATAAGGAGTGAAGTTCTTAAACTAATGCTACAGAGTACAAACTTGACAATGAAATTTATAAAGTTTCATAAATATAAAATCATAATATTGAGTAACGCCATAGTTCTCATGTCTTTTGTAATGTCCAAAAGACAACATAAAATAATAAGTACTCATGACAGTGGCTTTAAAGAGAATGATAATTTGGGCCTTGAATTGTTCTTCCCTAATATCTTCTTTTGTTCTTCTTTAACTCTTTTTTCTTGTTCTTTTTTAAGTTTCTGTCTTTCCTCATCCATTTTTCTTTGTTCTTCAATCATAGCCAGCCGTTCTTCAGCCTGGAAATTAATATTAATTGTATGTTAATAATACCGAAGAGGGGGAAGGAGAAGACAAGGTTTACTTGTAATTCCAACTATGGTTAGCAGTTAGGTTCACAGTTATGTAATTATAAATTGTCTTATTTAATATCCCGTAAGTGAGGAGATTTCGTAGAATCTAAGCAATTTGAAGGGTGAGATTATTAGAATAGTCAAATTGAATATGGAGCCCTTTATGTCTTAGTTTTTATAATAGCTGTTTATATAATATATAGGGATCTTACCAGCTTGCGCTGTGCTTCTTCAATTTTTTTATTATTTTCTGCCATTATTTCCTCCAACTCTTTCCTTTTACGTGCTTCTTCCTCCTGTTTAATAAAAAGATTATGTTAATTTAGCTCCCTAACATAATTTATGCAAACAAAATATCAATGTAACTGTAAGTCATCACATTCATTATACAATCATGTCTAACTTGTTCCACATGTATATTTGCATTTTCTAAAGTAGTTTTTAATGTCCAGTTTCATTTGTAAATGGTATAAATGCATAAAATATTCAATATAGTAAACAGTATAATGTTCATAACAATATTATGATACAGTAAAAATATTTGTATGTACAATAAAAATAGGTCTACTGTAACAACTGGTTACAATGTGAACTGTGTAACCTAATACAAAACAGAAAATATTGTTTTACAAAAAATATATTCAACAAATACCTTCAGCATTCATGAGAGGGTCCTCGAGCGGCGTCTCCATAAAATTCTTACAGCTTCTTGTTCTTGATAAGTCTTCTGACCTGACTTATAGACTACGTGACTGCCAAGGACAGTCAAGCGAACAATTTTAAAATGCTAGCCAGTCGCCTTCACGGCAATCATATAGTAAAGTAAAAAATCAAGGCATTCGGCTTTGTCAATGTGAATGACATGCATGTTGTTATTTGGGAATGTCAGTTACAATATTTGGAGGGCTCTGCCTTAATGAGTGACAATTGTAAAGAATTTATTAATAAAATTCTTGTAAGCACTCGAGCTACACCTGACTGGACCTTTAACAGATATGATCGAAATAATACTTTTATTAGTTACTCTGGTATATTATGTTGTATGTATTTAAACAGAATTTTTACATATACAATTTTTAAGATAAGCGAGAACAATGTTGCTCTCATGGGGCAAGGATTGTCATGTGTAAAAGCAATAATTAGAATTGCCATTGCACATGACTGGTTGATGAAAAGGTCAGTTACCTGACGAGCAGCTTCCTCTCGTCGCTGTTGCTCTCGTTGCCGTTCCAGTTCCTCCATCATTTCCTTCTCCATTTTCCTTTTGGCCTCTTCCACTCTTTTAGCTACTTCTTGCTCGATTTCATCTTTCCGTTTCTCCAATTCTTCTTCAACACGTTTCTTTACCAGAAGTTCTATTCGTTTTGCTGCTTCCTCTTCAACAACCTGAATTTATGATTACAATTGCACATATTATTGGCAGGCATTTTACAAGGAAAATTATACATATAGTTGTAATTCTTTTAACAGTCAAATGTTGTTATATATGTTTAAATTCTATATAACATATAACTGTTATGTAATAATAACATAACTACATATATATAAGATTGAAATTAAATATTAATAATTGTTTTTCTACAAGTTATATCATTAATTATATTATAAATAAGCAATTATTTAAAATAAATAAACACTATTACACAGAGGATTTTTGGGCAAACAAGAAATAATATTTTAGTTGATGGAATAAATTCATTATTCCATCAACGAAAATATTATTTGATGCTACAGAAGGTGCAGTAATGCAGAACCAGGGATGACTAAGCTAAACAAAAATATCACAAATCTATATCTTGTACACATTCTGTGTTCACACATAAGGTCAAGAGAAACATGAGTTTTTGTGTGTTAACTGTTAATCTGTATATCTTATTTAGCCTGACGCGACATATGTGAAAAGTGTTTAGTGCGTGCAGTTAAGTATTAATTAAGATTACCAAAACAAACATGATGTTACTTACTTTTTGTTCTGCTTCTCTTACACGTCTCTGCCTTTCCATTTCAGCTAACCGGTCTACTTCATCCATTTTGCTGCGTCCTTTAGACTTTTTTCTATTATTTCTACTCCCTTCAACTGAAGCATCAGTGCTACTTGACGACGAAACCGAATGAGATCTTTTTCTGTAGATATATGACATAATAATTAGCAAATTTGCAAAATAAATGTTTAAAATAGAAAAGAACATAATTAAAATTTTACCTAGACTTGGAACTTCGTTCCCTAGATTTTTCGGCATGTTTTGAGTTTCTGCTGCGTGACGAAGAACGATCCTTAGATCTACTCTTTTTTCTTGAATGTTTACTGCTTTTATGATGCCGCCGTGGAGATTTACTACGCGACCTCGATCGGCCCATTTTGAAATTATATTCTACACAACTAAAATCAAAAGATTTCAATTTTATATGCAAAACACAAAATTGGCTAACGCTCAATGTGACAATATGCGAATGACAACGATTCCGCCATGTTTTTTTACAATCGGATACAATCTGAGGTTTTGAAAGATAAGCATAAAACACAATTTTAACAACGAAAACGTTAGATAATAGTTCTCTTCTAATATATTATCAAAATATAAAAAATATATAATAAAGTAATTTATAAATAATGAAATTTATTTGAAGATTATTTTCAATTTATTTGACTTCAATTTAGCAACATATCCGAGTTAAATGTGTGTAAAAAATTCATTTGTACAAACTTCACTATAAACTTTGTTTCTGGTTTTTTAATGGATTTAAATAAAAAAAAATATTTTTCAACTACAAATGATAAAAAGATCCATTAATAAATATTAATTATGCAACTTAAAAAATAGGTCACAATGTTGGAATATATTTGAAAATTAAAGTTATTGTATTTATTTTTTTCTTATATTGATTCAAAATAGGTCTTGTTACTTTCTTATTAATTTATATCACCCATTTTAGTTGTTGTTCATTTAAAAATCTAAGGGTGCATCATATTAAATAGTGTATCATCATAGTGAAATCTTACCTTCAACTGGGCTTGACTTTGTTGACAGTTTGCATATCCGGATCCGGATTTTCCACCAGTACTTACAGTTATATTATAGTCCGCGAGCCATAGGCTTTTTTCGTCAAATATTTCCTCCCGGTCGAAAACTACTAATCGTAAGATGGTTAAGAAAGTTGTATTATGAATCAGCTGCTGTTCCTAGGGTAGTTTGAGGAGCAGCGACCTCTCAAACTTGGCGTCGTTTATTTCATCTTTTTTTTCTTGTATCATTTCATGCATGCATTATTTTACATTTAATTGGCAGTCAAAAAATGTTATTAGGTTATCAGCGATGATGTAGAAACAAACATGTAATACCACATAATACTAATGACCCTACTAAAGGTAATCTGAGAGGTTGAGGTAATAATGAATAAATAATATCTTGGGGTATGATTACTAATTAATCACCTACCTACCTACATAAAAAAGGGAATAATGTATTTATTTATTTTTACTGAACAACATATCTTGTACTAAAGGCGAGCTTAATGTCGTATGGTTTCTCACCCAGCTAACCTTTAGTTATAATGGTTATAATAAAAAAAGGATTGTGGAGTAATATGAACCGTGACAAATATATTAATATACTCGTACATAAATAACTATACAAGAGATATGTCTTTGTTTACTTTATATTTAATGGATGTACATATCATACAATATAAATAAATTATTATACTCAATGTAAGTATATTTCTATATATAAAAAATCGTGACACGTCCGCGATGAATTCTTTTTCGACAATTTTGATTCAATTCTATACGTAGGTATACTCGGTGGGTCTAAGAATAGGTTGTTAAGGTGATATATATATATATATATATATGACATTATTAAATAAATTAATATACATATACATACATACTAAGTAAAGATAAATATACTAAAGCAACAAAATGCTAGAAGTAGTTCAAGTTAATTCTGATTATTTTGATGACTCATAGTTAATTAAACAGTTTATTTTTATAAAGTTGCTTAATAAGTGCTTATGCAGGTCTACATGTTAGTTATTCAAAAGGCTGATTGCAATAACCGTAAATGAGCTGGATATAAAGAGAGCCTGAAATATGTGAGGGAGTTGACAGAAGCAGGTTATGGAGGTAAATAATGACAGTAATGTGTTACTAAATTATCTGTTTGTAATTCGAAATTCACTGCAATATTCTCTTTCCTTTTTATTAATGAAAGATACAATTTTTTAAGTTGCTTGTGCTACATCTCATTCTGAATTTGGTGTTTTACTACAACTTTTAATTGGTGGTGAAACTGTAGTATTATTTAAATCAGTTATGTCAGAGATATTATTAATTACTCTTTTGATTGGATTAAATCCATAATAGCTGGCTTTTCCTGATGGACCTTTATCCAGTTTGCTAAAACGAAATGGTTTCTTCAGATTAACAGATTTAACGGAAGCTAAATGAATTACCATATTTTTGAAGTAAGGAGTTATTATTAGTTACAGTCTTCGCATTGGAATATGGCATGTGGATGTTTTAGAGAAAACTGACGATAAAACTTTATTTCGTCCTGATTTTAATCTGATACTATTTTCAGAATCGATTCCATCCATAAGTTTATCTAATTGCTCAGTAATAACGGTTGCAGCCACACAGAGTTCATTTTCAGATTGTGTATTATGACTGCATGTTTCTTGTTGTAATTTCTTAATGGAATTGTAATCGTCTTCAGATTCCATCATTATATCTGTTTCATAGAGGCGCTTTAATTTATCAAGTGTGGCTTTAATATCTCGTTCCTTTCCAATATTTGCATCTTCATATATTTCATTAATTTCTATTTTGCCTTTAAAGAAATATTCTGATGACAGTCTATAACCTCTCACAAATATATCAGCGGCAGTACCATATCTCGGTACAGTCATAGATTGGCGGTAGATGCACTCAAATTTTCCAGTGGACGAATTAGGGTTTTCAGCATAATCAATGATTACTATAACGAGAAAACAACGTTTCAGTGTATATAAAACATTTGTGAAATAAAGGAAACGAAAGTTTGGACACTTCATTTATGAAAATAGTTTATTAACTTCAAGTCTAATATCAATTTAAATTCTATTACAGAAGCAGACTTTGTAAATAATTGTCGGTTGTCCTCAGTCTCACCTATTACAGTCGCCTTTATTCTTGTAAGTATGGTTTCGGTTGTAGGATGAGATTAGACAATAAAAAGACAAATTACAGCATCGCAATATCATGAATATCACATGATAACGTGATGTCCATAGTTACGTTTATGTACAGTTATATTTCAGGCCCATATAGGCGACGGTTACCTACAGCTTACCGTAGTTAGAACCGTCAGCTTCTTAGCTAGCCCAATTACTTAAAAAAGAAATTATTTATATTTTCACGTTATATTTATATACATATAAAATAAATGTATATTTCAAAATTTATTTTTTAATATAGGAAATGGATTTCAGATTTATCTAGTATGGTAAAATGTTTTACTCACCTTTTACTATATCAGAAACAACATCTGGACATATTTTTGCTGTAACTTGAGTTGTATTATTTAGATCCGGACAGGAGTTAATTTCAATTAACCAGGGCTTATATTCTTTATCGAGAATGAAATCACATCCATATAATTCAAAACGATTCTTACTGATTGATAAAGAATCTTGGCAACTGAGCATTATGCCAATAATTGACTTCTTCATACCTGGATAGACGATATTATCCCATACTTGACTTTTACCACATCTATTCAAATAATCCTTATATTCTTCCAAATCCCACATATTACTTTGTGGAAGATCAGGATGTCTTCCTATATAATTTTTATATTTTTTTTGAATTGCGTTATTTGTTAAGTGTATGGATTCGTGGTAATTATTTAAATTATACTTTTGGGAACTAAATTTCAAATAGCAGTTTGCGTACATCCATATTGTTAAAGGATAGGTGCTTGTCACAAGATAATACTGTCTGATATCAAACTTTGTGTCATAAATCAACAAAGGCTCTTCTGTAAATAATGTTACATTATACAAAATTTTATTCATATTCGATATATATACATACTTTAAAAAGATTTTACTTACCGATGTATTTTTGGATCACATGTTTAGCATTAGCTTTATTCAATAAGTTTGTAATAACTCCTAATTTAGAAGCCATTCTTATACCTCTACCTCTTGAACAGTATGCTGGCTTAATGATCCAGATATTATGGCAACCTTCACAACTTAGTTGTGGCCGATATCTATGAATTTCCTTGAGCAAAAAATTTGCGTATCCTAAATAAAGAGGTAGCTTATTTTCAGTGTCTGCTTGAAAAACATCATCTTTAGCAATTATTTGATAATATTTCTTTAGGAATGCATTCCACTGTCCTTTACTAACTGAAGGTAAAGTATGATCTATATCTTTATTTTGCTTACGAAATAAATATTCTTTGCATCTATTCAATGCGAATACGACAACAGTCATGGAAACTTTGCCTGATTTCATAAATACTGGCCTCTCGTTCGCAACCATTGAGAGTATCCATTTTAATAAACTAGTGCACGCCGTGATTTTGTAGTCCTTGATAAATCCTTCAATTTCCCCGCCATCGTAACTATTGTATGTTCTGGGACCATTAACTTCAGCTATGTTGTCAATATAAAACCAATAATTTCTCTTCATGGAAGAACAAAGACCTTGTTTGGTCGTCCACAATGCATCAGTATTCAATTTATTGACAATTGTATTATAGTCTTTTGTCATATCTATAGTAGTATCATAAATTTCATCCTTGGTTCGCCATATAAAATTAGGATTACATTTTTCAACCAAATTGGATAAAAGCAATCTTTCCAGTTCACTATGAATTTCGGACTTGTTTGAACAGGTTCCGTTCCGTATTTTAGATAGGTTCATTCGATTTGATGGAATTTTTTCCACCCATCCTCTTTCTAATAAGGCATTGCGTATAGCATTGCAACTTCCGTATACAGAAAATATTTTATTATATCTTATAGCATTAGAAGCGAGATTTTTGAGTTTTACGTATCGTGTGGACCTACTTTGACATTTGCATATTACGTAACTTTTCTCTTTTGGCGAAAGACCAGTAGAACGATACGTGCTTTCATAAGATATTTTATTTAATGTATCCCCTACACGCGTTGATTTGTAAGCAAACTTATTGAAAGGGGGAAATATTCCTTCAATGCCTCCATTGTCACATTTCCTTGAATTTGATTTCTGTAATCAGTATGTTCATATTTTATATTGTTGAAATAGATGCATTAGATAAGAAGAAACACATAAGAATATAATCTGACTCTGGAAGTACCAATTACATTTTCATTAATCTCATAGAAAATGAACCAAAATTTTCTACATTAGTGCTTAATTTAATTTACTAACATTAATACTAATACCTATATGTAGTTATTATATACCTAAATACTATAATATTTTATTACCTTTTTCTTTCTTGAAAGTTTTCTTTTCTTATTTGGCATTATGGTATCATTCTTTCCTCTATTAAAATGTAAGTGAACCCTACAAAAATGATAACCGAATTAGCATAGATAGATACATAATTGCATTCTTTAAATAATAGCTTTTGATGTAATTCATAGGCACCAATCTATATTTACCTATATAACTTAACTGTAGTTACTCATTCGTTATATGGAAATTAGTTAAGGTTTTACAACAAATTGCCAAAGTCTGTCTTAAATTTACCAGAAAAGATCCAAATATAGTAAAAAAAAAAAGGTTATTATAAAATTGAGTATATAATAAATGATAATAATGTAATTGTAGAAAATATCTAACTTAAAATTATTGACATTGTTATCTGATTGAACAGAGATTAAGCGCGTAGCGGTTTCTATGTTGATTGTCGCATACCTCCATCTTGTTAATGTGTATTTACGTAAAACAATATTTATTTAAAAGAGCAACACGCCAAGTTTCTTTTGCATTCTTCTTGTGATGAGTCTGTTCAAAAGTTTTATTTAGTTTATTTGGATATTCACTTCAATTTCTATTTCTATGCTAGTTTGTTAGGACAAGGTTTGCAATCGATGACTACACTGACTAGTACGGCAGACGAAGTATGTTTGAATATTTGAAAAAAGAGTGTTCTTTGTCATCTTGTCCGTCTTCTTATTCATGCTACCGTGTAATGTATATTATTGTATATGTAATACGTGTTTTTATATTATTTTTCTTGATTAGAAATATATTTTGTTTATCTATTATTCTACGTTATTTACTTGGACACCATTATAGATACTCTGTTAAAGTGAGAAGTTCGGAGGTAACTCCCCTCACATAGTTTATTTGTAACTCATTCAGAGTTAAAATATAGGATGTATAATTTTACTTGAATACCAGTTGGTCTTGATTACGTACGTAGTACGTTATCATCTAAATCTAAAATCAGTTCAAGTCAATTATTATTTAGAATACAACATGCTTTACAAACTATACCTTACTTCTTATCACAGGTTAATTAGATCATAAAAATTCTAAGCATCCCTAGAAGCAATAATTTAGTTCTATTTTTTGCGCAAGGTTAGGGTTAGGGACATAATTTCACAAATTATTTATATACGTATCATTTATTTTTTCAAGAAACAGAAATATATTTTCCGATGTAGACAATATTTTATATCTGTATTTAATTTTTGTTATGTTTGTTATGTTTACATATTACTTCGACATGAATGAATTTTGCTTCATTTTGACACACTGTCTGTATGATAGTCATGACATAAAAATAAAAAGTTAAGTACTAGCCATTTATGCGTCACCAGTATTGTAAAATATTAATTTTCTTAAGGTTTAGGAATAGAAGGAATCAGGATACATCATCCAGGTTATGGAAACTGAAAGAAGGAAAATTGAAAACACAACATTAACGGCACTTTTATTTGGTACTATAGAATTTAAAAATTTTAATCAACAATATTTAGCAAGAAAATATTTTAATATTTAGCTAACTACTTAATAACTTTCAAAATTATAATATTTTTTCTTGACAAAATGTAAATAACAATTATGTAGAGTTACTAATAAATAGCGTAGTAAATATGATTTAGATAAATAATGGATCCTTAAGTTTTATTATGCAGTTAAATAGCATTTTTCAAACGTTCTAGTTGCTAGCGTTTGTCTGATTGCTATCATTGTAATAAGAAATCACAGAATAGTGTAATTCTAAAAAGCGTAACATAGCATTGAACACCACCATTTTTGGGACCAGACTTAGGTACATAACTATATTACTTTTTACGTTTCAGTAATAAATTTTGCGCGTTCTGAGGTTCGTCACTTAAAGGAGTGACTACAACTCGATACGGTGCATATATTGTCGAACAACTTTTGGAAATTGTAATACCTTTCTGTTGTACTTTATGTTCATCTCTCAGCTTGCAAATGTTCCTACCGATTGCACTCAACTTTTTTATAGGATCAGTGTCATTTATGCAATTATTACTTCGCGAATTGTGTGGTTCCAAAGGTTTTTGCTGATAGCCTAATGTACCTGATTTTGTTTGCCGTACCGGAACTGTGTTATTGTTTTCATTTCTGTTTGCTACTTTATTTTGAACTGATATTGTCGACCTAAGAATACTAGCCGTTTCTCGTTCCCACTCTACAGGATCTATATAGCACCTTTTGTTACCGACCGACCTGTCTACCTTAGGTTTCGCTGATTTATTCGCCGATTCGGTCCGATATTTACGAGTGTGATTATCGGGTTGGTCCTCATCAGGCCGATAGCATGAATGAGGGACAACACGACGCCTATAATCTGTATTTTTTTCTCGTTTTCCTCGATGGGTCCTACAAGAGATTGCGGATGTTTTACGTTTTTTCGAACCGTTTTTCAACGAAATACCGGATTTTACAGCAGTAATTGCTTGGCGTACCGTAAGCGATTCCTTCGGTCCTAGAACCAAACCATCTTTGTTAGTTGGCAGTGCGTCATAAGGATTTAACCATGTAAGAAAGTCAGTAATGATAGGTCCATTATATTCAGTAGGCACCGGTTGATCTTCCAGAACAGTATCTCCAGCTGGCATTTGAGGTGCAATTGGCGTACTACATATCCTTGGTTCATGTCTGCGTTCTTTCGACTTTTTTATTAATTTCTTGCCATTTATACATAGCGACAGTCCTAAATATGCCGGCGCTTTTGGAATCATTTGCCTGTAGGCTAATTCAAATGTTCCTGTGTCAGCGTCAGGATTTTGACGGCGATCGAGTACAACTGAAATTCATAGTAGTTATTAGCGGTTGCAAGTAAAATAGATCTAATTATTGAAACAACAGATACCTTTTACAACATCCTCTAGGCATTGAGGACATAATCGTGCTGTGACTGATGTCGTAGGGGCTAGGTCGGGACTCGAGTTAATTTCAATGAGCCAAGGTGTGAAATCTTCTGTTAACATGAAGTCAGCTCCATATAACTCAAAGCTGTTTTGCCTTTTGTCCATGCCTTCCTGGCAAGCCAACATTGCTCCTATTAAGCACTGCTTCATCCCAGGATAGATTTTTGTATCCCACAGTTCATATTTTCCTATCTGTCTTCAAAGATTTAATATATTTTTAATACTAATGTAATCTGTAGACAGGTTGTACATCTAACACATTACTATTTATATAATTTTTACCTGAGATAAGCTTTGAATGTGTGACAATCCCACATGTTTTCATCAGGTAGTGCTTTATCACGTTCGCCGTTATTTTTATATTTGATTTGTACTGCGTTGTTTGTGAGGTGTACAGATTCGTGGTAATTTGATAAACTGAATATTTGTGAGCTAAACCTCAGATAACTATCTCTAGAATAATATAAATATGTATTATAAAAACAGGTATAGATACTATATAGTAAGTATAATCCATTGTTTGATACCTACTTGTACACCCAAATTGTAAGAGGCTGAGAATTTGTTATCAAAAACCATTGACGAATATCAAATTTTGTATCGTATATTACAAGTGGATTTTCTGAAAGATAATTTATATTATTATTGGACAACAAGAAATAAAAATATAAACTAATTCATTTGAATTATATGGATTATAATAGTTACCTATATATTTCTGTACGACGTATCTAGTTTTCTGAGCAGGTATATTGATGAGGCCTATAATGTCTTTTATATTGTTCATAAGTTGGATGCCTCGGCCGCGACACTTATTGCTTGGCTTCACGATCCATATATTTAGTACTCCGTCAATATCAATCTGAGGCCAGAACTTCGTCATCATAGCTAACACTTTGGATGCTCTTCTTTCCAATTGCCTGAAATATGCTCTTAAAAAGTCTCATCTAAACATATAATATAATATATAACTGATCGCTGTCTGTACCAGGAACATTTATGAGAAAAACTATTATTAGAGGATTTTATCGTCGTAATGATTGATTGCAATAATATTTAGAATTTCTGTCTGTTATTCATTGGGTTTGTTCACGCTAATCTAAGAAAAAAATTGAGCGATTTGGGTGTAGTTTACACTAATGAATTGTGATGATTAAGTGATGCTTGCACTTAAAATTTTATGTTAGTTTTATTTCAATCGTTTTCAACAAAAAGTTATTCAGGGTACGAATTACATTCACTCATTACACGAAATTACATGTGTGAGGTTTTTTTTATGTAACAGTAGTGGCAAAAGCTGCTTAACAGAAGCTGTTAGCACGTATATATATATGAATATTTTCATAGACTTAACATCGTCATGTCACGCCTTAGACCTCAAGTGAATCGTTGCGGAAAAGATAGCAAAGAATAGCACTGTTTCTAATAGTAACTTGTGGGATAGGTCTAACCTCAACAGCGAACTATGAATGACCGAAACAATAATGGCGTCTGCATTATTGAAACTAGTTCCGTAATGTACATTACTGTCAAGAAATGTAAACAGTACCGTGCTTCATGTTCATTCAAGATACTATTTAAGTTTGGTAAAATTAATACACGCATTACGAAATCTAATTGCATATTCGATTTTATTAATGATAAAACTGGTATAATGTCACAATGGTCATGATACCAGTGTCGTATATCAATTAGGCTTCAAATTTAGCTAGCTACCCGCCCCGGCTTCTCATCGGTGTACAAATATCTATAAACTTTCCTCTTGAATAACTCTATTGCTAAAAACTGCATTAAAATTCGTTGTGTAGTTTAAAATATCTAAGCGAACAGACAACGGATGCGACTACAATATTTCAAACTATGTAAAGATAACTTTCATATTTACTGTATGACAATAAATTCTTTGTTTACCAATCATAAATATATAGCATCAAAGGTACAGAATAAATATGTATATACAGAAATAAAAGAAATAGTGTATATAATATATGATATGAATTTAATAATTGGTTTTTATTGTATGCATATATGTTCTTTTATATGTAGATCGTGATGTTGCTGGTGGTAGAGTCATGTTTGCAGTATCTAAAGCGTCTAATGTTCCTTACCAGTAAAATGTTGACACAAGAATTATGCCTACTGCAATACTGAGGAATGATAACGCGAAAAGACGACGTGGACGGCATGCGGCATAGCGTACATTGCGTGATCTAGTCCTATTTAAGCACGAAACATGGAAAAGAAAACTGTACGCCTTTGGGAAAAGTTGTCAAGATTCACTACAATCAAACGTCAATAGCATACACAACAATAATATTAGTAATATTTTATTTGACTTTATAAGAGAGCAATAAGATTGTGAAGTGAGTACGAACGTAAATTCTTACTGATATTTTTGTTCTCTAGATAATTCACACAACGTTATTATTCTCAAGTTAAGCAGAGTTTACATATAACACATGTGTACTAGACAACTGATAGAAATACTTTTTTTGTAAATACATACATCTTATACATAGAAAACATCCGATATAAACAATCATACACATGAATACAAATGTTTGTATCGTGCAAGACTGAATAAAACTCGCAACCATCTGTAGTAAAGCGGTGTGCTAAAGTAATAAATCAATTCATAACAACATGGATATTTACAATAAATTATTAAACTTTGAATAGGAAATCTTCTATGTCCTTAATATAATGTAAAGACCCACCTACACTTACCTTATATTTGTATTTTTGTCCTCTATAAACATAGCTTTCTCGTGCACCAGTAGATAATGGTGTGTTAGAAATTGGTCCCATTCATGTTCCCACACGTGTTGAGTTTGATCCTCCGAGTCATCTATGTCCTTATGAGTAAAGAACGTAACGTATTCATTCAATCTGCATATAGCAAACTCTATCGCCGTAAAAGGAACCTTGCCGTGATTTACAACAAGATTTTGTTCACCGTTATTTTGCAGTGTGTTAGATAGCCATTTCAGGATGCTGATGCATGCTGTGATTCGAAAATCATCGATAAACTCCTCGAGGCTATCCGAATTGTATATGTTATAGCAACGTGGAAATCTAGTCAGTGCTATACCCGGCTCCGTGTACCAATGCATTTGAGTAAGCGACGCAGTCAAGCCCTCTTTGGTCGTGAAAATCGATCTGCAAAATCTGTTTGAAGTCAAATGAGTTATTGTTTTTTTATAATTATCAATTAATAATAGTTCCACGTAACTATACGTGCTGTATTTTTTTATATCACATCGATGGCAATTATGTACCTGCTTATAATGACATCCTTATTACTAAGCAACCAGTCATATTTATCTCTTTTGGTCGTCCAAAGAAAGTCAACTGAATGGTGCTCCATGAATTTGTATAGGATCATCCTCTCGACTTTGGAGAGCTCTTTTCCGCTGACCTTCGTCGGGTCTACGCTTGTGGGCGGATGACGAACCTACAATTATAAATAAAAGTGGAATTTACCATTTGATAAATAATAATATACAAAAAGTTTTAATGCATTGTCACAATAAAGAGCTACGTAAAATATAACAAATGTTAGATATTACATACATATTTTATTAGAGAACGTAGGACGTATATTCACAGTTAATGGCCTAATTTAAAGTAACTAAGATTATTCCATAAGTACTTGTCTAATATTTTTTCTCTACTTTGCAGTTTATTCCACATTGATTTCATGTGTTACAGATTTTTCATTTGAAATTAATCTTTTAATCTAAAAAGTTTTGCTGTGGCTATAGTATATTGTTATATTACGTGTTAAGCTATTCTACATCGTAGAAATCGTAATTTTTTTGAATTTTTGAATTTTGTATATTTAAAATGACTTCATAAATATAATAAAACGATAAACTATTTTAATAAAGAAATAAATTACTAATTAACTAATTGTATCGACATTTTAAGTTTAAATACCATTATGAGTATAGTAGAGTATAGATGCAATTAAATACCTTATGGGACTCATACTTCTCAATCCAACCTCTCTCTAGCAGTGCTCTACGTATAGCAGGGAAGCCGCCTCCCTTGATCATGAACACTTTTCTATCCTTCATGGCGTTTTCAGCTATCTTCCTCAGTTCATTCCATCGTTCATTGCTCACCCAACTTTTATACTGCCTCAGTTGTTCAGTTGAATTTGTGGTCTCTGTCATATGATTAATATTAATTTTATAATAATAGTTATCCTATAATATATAATAATATATGTATCATTGCCAAATTTAAACTAATTATTATGATTCGAATTTCAATTTACATTATCACACTCGATTGAATGCTAATATGACAACGATCTAAAATGTTATCCATTACATACAAGATTTCTATCATATACCTAATTTCAAATATATTACAGAGTTTTCGAATTATTTCAAAATAACTGGTGAATTTGTACGAATAGATTGATGAATGTCAAAAAGAGCAAAAGTGGTGTGTATGAATCGAAATATTTGACATTCCTTAGTTTCTGCCTACTCCAATGTGAGACACGTGATTATATGAACGTTTGCTTGTAAATATTATAAAGTTCGAATAAATGTAGGCTATTATATAAAGATATTTAAAAGAGTACAAAGTGAAAATCTTTGTGGACAAATACAGAATAGGCGAAAAGGAGTGAGCTGAGGTTTTACTGTAAAAAAATGGATGAAGCTAGTTCTGTGTCTGAGGATTTATAGACTCTCTATGAACACTCGAATCTCTGTCTTTTCCGTAGTGACCAAAGATTTTTAAAATCTTTTTGCTTAGTCGTTAGTATAAGCACAGATAAGATAATGGTATAAGCAATCTATGTAAGTCATTATTTTGATATAATAAGTTTACCTTTTACCATGTTACTTCAAAGTCAAAATAAATTTTTATAATTGATTATAGTTGTTATAAGGGGTAACACTTCAGAGAATAATGGTAAAACTAGAAATTGGAGTTTAAAGGTTTTGCTTCCATTGACTCTTGAAAGGAAGTTTGACGATGACAACTCGTCATTTATATTTTATACTAGCTGTTCCCGCGACTTCGTCCGGGTGGAAACAAAGTTTATTTTACTAAAATAAAATATTTTTTCTAAAATAAAAGTAGCCTAAGTTCCTCCTTATTACATCAGCTACCTGCCAAAAAATGTCCCGTCAAAATCAGTCCAGCCATTTCAGAAATTAGCCGGATTAAACAGACAGACAAAAATTGTAAAAAAAAATATTTTGGTGTATGTACCGTATTTATATTCATATGCAGGTAGTAAAAAACGGTAATTTCAATATCACAAACAGACACTCCAATTTTATTTATATGTATAGATTCACCTAAACTATCGAAGATTCAAAGTAAAATATGTTTAATTAATAATTTATTTTTCATTGACAGGCTTGTTGTTATATAATACTAAATTATTAAAGTACATAAATTTTTTAATTCACAAATTATATATTGGAATTAATTTTGTTTTTGTCATTAAGTATACTATTTAAGAGATTTTTATGACTGCCCCGCATTTGTCGTGAATTTTTAGCTTGTGACAAACCTGTCCCATGTTCAGATTTGGAGAACGAGACAGCACTCGACGGCCGCAGCTCTTTCTTGGCTGTGCTATCCTTGTGCAGTTTCGAGTCTGACGCGCTCTCCTCCAATTCCATCGTTACAGCCATGGGCCCAGCTTATTGTGATAAGCCTGTAAGTCTGATATCCTGCAACGGACCAGCTGATCAGTCACTAACATCTTTAGAGACTAACTCATGTGTACGTCTGCACAGTTTGCTAGTCAATGATGAACTGGCCATCTAAATATAAACCACTAGTGCAATAACCTACTTTAATTTAACCTACATTGAGGGACCCTGGTTATCAACGAGGGATCCGCGCGCATCACTGCCTGGCACCTGTACGAATGACGTCACAATCTAGGTAGGTCCTTCGCAAATCGTCCGGTATCCACGCGGAAATTAATAAGCTAAAATTACTTTTACCTCTTGTAACCAGGTCGTCTCAGAAAACTAGGTTAATTCAAACGATAATGCATTTATAGACAATGATGGATGACAACTGTTGTAATTTTAGAAACTATAAATTTATTTTGACATATTTAGTAATAGTACTAATGTCGTTTGACAAATGTAAATGATGTAGATTATTATCCTACTTTGCCTAAGTCAAATGTAATAACGTTTTTTATAAAAGAGGCTAGTTGTTTAATAATATTTTGTCTAACTTATTCAAGAACAATTATTTATGGAGACATTATAAAATTAAAATCTATTCAATTCAATAATCACATAGGTAATTAATATTATTTACAATTACTATCCAAAGATCACAACACCCTGATATCTTTACTAATGAATGCGAAATTATTATATGTATTAGATGTATAACTAACTTTTGTCTGCTGTCTTTAAGATAAAAGATGGTGTATGTGTCCTCGTGATTCAAAGTCTCTGTATACCAAATTTTATTAATATCTGTTCAGTAATTTTTTTCTGAATTGGTAACAAATAATCAATCACAAATTATTTTACATTAATAAGTCTGTATAAGTATATATTTATACACAATATTGTTTTAAGATAACAACAATAACGGCCTAAATAGATAAAGCGGCAGAAAAATAAATAATAAATATAATTATTATTTATTTTTCTGCCTATAATGATTTAGTTACTATAGATAGCTATTACTAATAAATCACTCTTCAAAATCTGCTGAATTTATTTGTAGGTGTAATGTTCAACCTTTTCCTCAATCTAAATCAGTGAGTAATATAATAGTTACTTTTAAACATTTCAAACGGACTACAAATGTTACATCGTATTTTAATTTTCCCGCGTGATACAACTTGACATGTCGGACCGGAAGTTCAAAGTAATACGGAGAAGCAATATAGAAATAAAATGTAATTCTTATTCAGTGCTTGTGAATTTTAATAAAATTGTGTATATATATTTACAAAAATATAAATTATACGTTACAAGAAGATAATAGTATTTTCCATATTTCAGAGCTATTATAATTTACTGAATTAAAATGACAAAATAATCTACTGTCAATACTTAACTTTGTACGTAACATATGTATAAATATACGATTTGCGGTTTGTGAAATACACATAAATATGTAAATATGGCACAATGTTATTTGAATTTGTACCTACATTGGTACCTTATCTATGCGCGCGCAAACACTCAACTTCAATTTCGTTATGTTGTCTACCATGAATTCAATGACGTTTACTTCATCCATTCAATTTCAATGTTGGTACTCCTGATTATGACATGACATGAATGAAGCAAGATGGCGAGTTCATCTCCGGTTGATGGTACTCTGTGATATTTTTCTCATTTAATGTCATATTTTCGAACTTATTCCGTAATGATTTAATATAAGCATCCATTCAAAATCTAGAAATTTGCGTGAAAGTGTTTAAAATATGGATGCAATTCTTTTAATTTAGGTGTGTATGTAACCCACCTGAGGAATGTTGGTTTTTTCAGTGATTTGTGTTTCGGTCAGGTGTTTTCGTTAGAATCAAAATTAAAATTTTGTTCTTGCGCAGTGAGTGAAGTTACAGAGTTCAGATGTATTTGTGCTGTGGGGATGCTATATGTCGGGACTATTTTCAATGTTGGAAAACAAAAGCGTGAACTATTTGTTTTGATCGACCGTGATAAAATAAATTAAGAAGGTCGGGCTGAGTACGAGCTCCGGCGGGAGTGATGGCCTTCAGTGAGGTAAGTGTTTTTGACTTTTTATTTACCAGATTTGTATTTTTGTTATATTTACCTAGCAAAAGTTCGAAAATTTTACAAACATTACCTGTACCAAATGCATGTTAAATTACCAATCAAATTAAAAATTGTTTAGAGAATGTTTATTTCATACATTATTATACCACAATAATTAAATGTTAACAAGAGCTCACATCATTGTAATTCTGTATATAATTTTCCTACTGCCAACATTTAACAATTTGTTAGATGTAGATTGTCACTCTAAAACTTTTGTTAAAAAGGCACAATGCACTTTATGCATTTGGAACTTATTCTTAATATTAAATTATATTGGTTGCATTATCGCTAAAGTGTGCTGACTATATATATGTATAAAAAAATATGTTCCAAGTGTAATCATAACTGTTATCACTTGTGATTATTTGTTCTTATTGTACCTACTTATTTTACATTTTTATCATAAGATATGAATATTTTACATGTTAGGTCATCTAGTACATTCTTTGAATTTATAAAGTGATCGGAGAATGGAACTCATTTTTAAATTATAATATAATTTGCAATTATTATATTGTAATGCTACATAAATATGGATATAATATACCTATTATCAATGACAAATATACCTATTAAATTGTAATGAGGTTTAGAATTTAACTAACTTACCTTCGTTTAACTAATAAATTTCCACTTGTAGTCATGATTAGTTTTTATCCATGATATTGCCGATATGAGAAGAAATGTTCACTGATCGGAATAATAAATAATATGTTTTTCTGTATTCTGAATGGTGTTAAAATGTCAAATTTCATGTATTTGGTTGACTCATTAAGGCATAACAGTATCAAACAAACAATAAGAACTCTTTAACATATATAATATTAGGATGTGGTAGTAAGTAAAATTTGTATTATGTAAGACAAATTTGGTTGTCCGAAAATATAATTTTAGGAAAAAACATAATCTCTAAATATTTCAATAACTAAAAAATTCTAAATTAATTATAACTGTAACTCATTGGGGATTTATATATTTAGTCATGGTGTGATATGGGCTCAAAAATAAATAAATTACAAATATATTTTGTACATATAATAGTCCAATACTGTTTTTATAATAATGAGCTATCTGTCTGGCTTTCTGGCTAACTATGGCTAGCTATGGCATTTTAATGCATTCTTTGAATATTAGGTTTAGGATAAAAATGATAGTAAATATTTTTGTCTCTATTTTCATGATATGCATCCATATTAAAGCTATATAAACATTTCGGTAATTATAAGGTAACTGTGTCCCATACACATCATTGCATATTTTGTAAGCCACATTGTTTGTAGTACTCATATTTTTGAGTATTATTACTCAGATAACATGTGCCTATTAAATGCATTGGATTGTGTAACAACAAATAGGAAGCTAATTTTAGATTATTTGGTGTTTATTATAAGTTCATAATTTAAAATCCTTGGTGCCTATAGTGCAGTTTAAAAGCAACATCTTACAAAGGTAAGTGCAGGTACAATATACTCATGTATGTAATTGTATATCTCAGAATTTGATGCAGCAGTTGACTGCACATGAGACTTTATATTTATCACTATTTACTACCATTATTCAAGCCTACATTATACCTATATTTCTTTTCAACTTTCGGTAACTCTAATCTATGTAACATTTCGCGGTTTGTTCCAAATCCAAATACAAACTTAAAGTCGGTCATCTTGCTTTAAATACCTTTTTTTTTTCAATAATTTCTTAGTGTGTGGTTACACGAACGATTGTGACGCAACAACCGTTAACATTTCACACGGTTGGTTTGTTATTCCTCAGAAGCGACTACTTAGTGATGTTATTTGGGTTTAGGTGAAACATCCTCCGTGCGATTGGTAGTAGGCGTTTCAAAACGTTTAGTGGCGTTTTCCCACGGCTCAATTGTTATTCTGTACCGCGAGAGCTTCGTGCGTGGCCGGTGTTTGAGGTGAGCGATGTCGCTGCGTGAGACACAACTGTACTTAGTATAATGTTTCAGAAAATCAAGACATAAAAGGTATTTAGTAATGTACTATACTGACAATACAAATGAATTTTCTAATAATAGTGATACGTGGTGCTGTAAGTAGGTTAACTGTAGGGCTCGATTCATCTGATGGAAAGCGGCTACTGTTAGTTATAGGTGAATCGAATCTCAACATACTTTGTCACTTTATTAATACATAGTAGGGATTTTTCATGATTGAGCAGAGATTATATTACCTAAGTTACCTTTGAGACTAAAATATAGATACATTAGCACTTCAGTAAGAATGGTCATTATGGCTGTTGTATTTAAATATCTAATAATGGCAATCGCATTTTGTTAGTATATTGTTAATAACTTTCGAAAGTAATGAATATTGTTATCATCTGATTCTTCCTTATCCCTTTTATTTGTGGTCGACGATTACGTCGACCACAAATAATAGAAGAGAAAAACATATTAATGTTTTTCTCTTCATTCATCCCTGTTCGCAGTCATCTCGTTATTTACTTCCTTTCTTACCATATCATCTTTCACACAGTCCGTCCATCTCTTTTTCGGCCTTCCTCTGCTCTTATAACAATCCATATTCATATATAACAACTTAAAATATTATCTTCATTATGTTATATACGTTAAAAATTTAAGGCACGATGTGTACTTTCTGTTAGGTGGTGTTACTGAATGCATAGCATTTCTGACGGGTCTTATCTATATAGGCCGTGGTTTCCTCATAGAGCCCCCGATCGCACCCGCATGTTGGCATAAACTTAGATTTGCTATCAAACACCAGTTTGGCTTGGCACGCGGTATCATTGTAATTACACCATTTCACTACATACGGTTAGCATTTTCAGTGGTTTCACTAAATTGGCCCCGTATAGAGAACCTACCAAACTAACGCTTTGTGAATGTAACCACAACCGCTTGATGTTTGCATTGGGCCGCCAGTGCCGCCACTAAAGTTTTAATGAAATTCTGAGTATTTAACGTATTTAAGTAGACTTAGTCGTGTACCTACTTATATTATACATACATACGTATTCTTTTGAAAACCATTAAACTTATGGTTTTTGTCAGTAGATGGTATTGACTACTTAACGAATTTGGTATTTTTAAACGTTTGCATTATACGTATTATTAGTTTAGCATACTCTTTCATATTGAGATTATTATCGAAAAAGCCTATTGAATGGGTATTAACTCCACCATGTCGATTCGAGCAAATCTCAGTTAGTAAGTCGTGCGCGCAGGGTCAACGACCCGGACATTATCAACAATCAAATTTGTAGAGCCCTCCGACTGTGTAACATGCAACTCGTACATATTTGCATAGGAGCTGTTAAGTTTGTCGAA